TCCTCCACAAACGGTCCGCCATTGTTGATAGGCAGAGTAGTGCCCATGCCCGTTTCAACGCCCTCCCTCCTCCCGCCCTGCAACTAGCTTCCAGACCTAGCGCGTTCATCGATCGCAAGCTGATCGAAATCAATCTTCTCCTGAGTGCTTCTAGCGTTCCCTTTTGACTTTTGATTGCGATGGCTGCTTTTGTCAACTTAAACATTGCGCTTGATATCAAAAACAAATGACTAGACAAGCGAAACAAATGACTAGACATAGAACACAAGGGTCTTGGTGTAATGAAAATCAACTTGATGTATAAAAAGTACTGCTTGATCATGAAAAAATGCAACTTGAAGTTTTGTCACGTTTGGGCTAGCATAGTTGGCTCTTTCGGCGATAGAAATAATCGTTTTCCTTGTCTTCACAGTCTCGACAATCTATACGCAATTTTAATTGTTTTGAAAACAGAAGAAACCACATCAAGTCTCAAGTTATTCACACACAATAAATACAATTATAATTCACAAAATTAAATTAAATTAAATTACATTTTTTATTATTTTTTATACCTGATAAATAAGCAGTCAAAAATATTATATGTGTGTGTGGCTGTTGTAGTAGTAAAAACTTTCGAGTCAACAGCCACCTACACAAACAATTCATTATCTCACCGTCGAAAGACAGTTACAAACACTTATCTTACATGTGCTACTGAATAAAACTAAGTTTTGCTTTCTAACTGTACTTGCTAATAAACTCTTGATGGAATTTATTAAACCTGTCAAACATAAGTGTCGTTTCTTCCAGTGGAGGAATGATTGTTATCCTAGAATAAAGGAAGAAAAATAGACATTAAAAACGGGGCTGAGTAACATATCACTATTTTTAAGTAGAAAGCGATTTCTCATTAGGAGTTTACCAATTTGTCGATATCTAGATGTGCAAGGTACGTAATCAATGGTTAGTTGTTTTATCATACTCACGTTTATTTTTTAATAACTTTTTCCTTTTGCAATTCATTCGATTTTCTTTTCTGAAATATTCATGTCTTGGATGATGTTTATCAACCAACCTTAGTCTAAAGTACTAAAAAGATCTATCTCCAATCCTGCGCTCTGATTGGCTGAGCTGGTCTATTAGTGATCGACCACTTATTATTTGACCGATTAGTAGGTTAAGACTAAAGCAATTAGACCTCTAGCCGTCAAGGTGAATATTTACTAAAACAATTATTCACCTCAGGCAGTGCTCGAAGACTCGACTACTCGCGGCTTGGTAAATGTCTATGATGGGAAGTGACCCTAAGATATATCGATATAGATTGATTCTATCTGATCCGCATACTGGATTGGGATTGATCGATTTACCTGAAATGTGAAGTTCCTTCCTTCTGTCCAAAGCCACTTCCATGCACGACGAATATGCCGGTGTTTTCAAGAATATTTGAAACGTAAAAATAGTCCGGTTCTACACCAAGGCGCTGTTAAGGAATGGAAGTTATTTAATAGCCTGGTTCCTCCTGGAATAAATCTCTCAATAATTATCTTGTAAAGTCAGTGCAATAATTGAAACTTAACTAATAATCATAATCATTATGAACGAGGGATTCATGGTGAGAGCCCTAGCGACAAGAGTTTAATCGGTACCCAAAGCTGAGTCATTAGTCAGATAAATAAAAGTAAATGCTTTTCTTGCCTTTGCTTCGTTGATTGCCTTTGGGGGAAGAATAATTCTAGGAAAGGCGTACATTGCACCTGTAACTTTGTTGCATTTAATTCCCGGCAACGAGTTGAGGATGTTGGTCGTCATCACAGCTTTTTGGCGTAAAGACTCTAAAATAGTGTCTCTCTCCTATATGCAATAGAAGAGACATGCAAGAAAGTCAGTGACTTACTAGAAAATAATCATAAAATGTAAACTGTTTATAAAACTTTCATAGTAAAGGATAATTGTTTCATTAGGTTTTGTTATACTCTTATCTCCAGAGGTTTTAATTGACTTCAGGTAACGGTATAGGCAAGCACCGGAGGCGCAAGAAGCGAAAGGGACAGGTCATTTCTCTCACCCTCGCGTCATGCAAGACAGCTAGCGTCAAAGTAAGGATGAATAGCAAATGCACTCCAGGCTTGCCTGGTTACTCTACCATTGATCGCTTTTATCTGATTTGTATGTCATTTATGATGGAAGCTTACCTTGATAAACAGGTCGTAAGATTCTTCTCCAGGCTGTGGTGGTTTACACATCAGACTCATCGCAACCTTGAGATCAACAAAAAACATTCGCTAATTCCTCAAATACCCTTTTATATTTGCACGGTGAATAGATGGGTGGGTGCATGGGTGGTGGATGGGCATATGGGTGGATGGTGGAGGGAGGGAGGGAGGGAGGGAGGGAGGGATGGATGGATGGATGAATGGATGGAGAATGGGCGCATGGTTGGATGTATTGATGATTGGGTGCGTGAATGTATCTATGCCTTATCTGATCTAAAATGTTAGGACAAGCGCTCATTGTCAGCTTATTAAGAAATAGACCTTTCGTTTCTTTATCGAAACCATGTAATTCAAAGTATGCACCCCTGCAGCAACATCTACAACAAATGGTTTTTGTTCAGTGTTGATATGATTATATGAGGAGATTCAGGGTTTCCTGCTATGGGGAAAAATGTATAATCCCCTGAGCGTTGTAGATATTTCGATATATTTATATATTAGGAGTATTCTGTATCTCGTAGGTGGCTCTTTCAAAAATGGTTGGCGAAGGTTTTGTTGCACGCTGCATGCATGTAAATATGTAAGTAACTTGAGCACAGAAGAAAATATGCCTGACAAACGTGCAGACAAGTTATAGTAAGATTTCTTATTATTGTGGTCACCTTTCACAGATTCGTTCATATCGCCCATGCAGGGGTATCCTGCGTAGCGGCCCAAAGGGAAGGGAAGGGCAGGGTCTAATGACTGGGGAAGAGGGGGAACTGGGGAGAGGAAGACGAGGGGGAAACCCTGTCCTTCCCTTCCTTTTGGACCGCTACGCAGGCTAATGCAGGGGCCACAGAGCACCCCGAAAAGTGATGGGCTAAGATTTGGGAAGTGTCCCCCCCTCTTGTCTCACCCCTTCCGCTGCCCCTGCTATATTACATTTTAGGCTTGGAATACAACATACAAAAAAACTTTTACCAACCACTTTTGAATATCTAAATATGAAAAAAAGACAGTATTTGAATTTACCTAATACACGAATATAAACAATAGATATTTTTGAACTTTTGATCACGACACAAGTATTATTTACGTAGAATTTTCGATAAACGTTTTGGCCTTCTTCAGCATCACAGTGATATTAATTCAGTCAGATACTGAAGAAGAGCAAAAAAATAGTTGAAAATTTTAGGTAGATAATTATTGAGTTGTGATCACAAATGGATATCCATAAAAGTGAATAAAAGTAAGTTTAGCTTTTATGTTACATACTCTCCAATGTATCCTTTCGCACTACAGTGCAAAGATATGAGCTGCAAGTCTTTATACTCATGGCCCATGTCATGCAAAACTTTTTTACATGAATAAAAGGGGAATTCATCTGTGTAGATGTTTTCCTGGTAAACCTCATCTGCAAATAGTACAAGTCGGTTCTCGTGACAGAATTTAATTGCCTCTTGGATTGCTTTGTATGAAAACACTTGTCCTGTCAACATAAAAAGAGCCCAGAGTGAATTTAAGTGAACATCCGGACAGGACGTCCAACCAACAGCTACATTCGAAAAAAGCTAAAGCGTATGCAAATTAGTCGAAAACTGATATCTTGCAAAACTTTGAAACAAAATGTCAAAACGRTGAGTTCGACTTTTGTCGAACTCCAGTCTTCGTTTTAGTATACGTATATTACCACAGGTTTCCCAGTAACAAAGCCGACATTCTACGCCTAGGCTACCACAGGTATTCCAGTGATTATGATTCACTGCAACCGGTTGGTACGGTACTATGATATGAAGATGATCATATCACATGAAGAATACTTGACGCACTGGTTACCTGTCCGCTTTCGTGTCGAATTTAAATTAATTTATATTACTTTTTATTTTCTAAAAGGGCTTGCTCCATTCTACCTGGCTGAGCTTATTTCAGTTTTGCCTCAGTCTACGTATAACCTTAGGAGGAATAGCAATGGCACACTGTTAAGCCATCCTAAAATTAAATCATAAAGTACCCTGGGTGATCGCACTTTTTTGCTGGCCGCGCCTAAGCTTTGGAATGAACTTCCTTTAGACCTCAGGAATACTGACCTTTTTTCATTTCGCGCATCTCGTTTTTTACCCTTTATTTGCGCTGTTTTGAAAATTGATTTAAATAATGTCAGAAGTTGAATCCTTTCTATAACTTAATAATAGATTTTCACGAACGCGCGCTCTGGTTGGCTGAAAAGCTATGCTTTATCAGAGTATAGAAACATAGATATGACGTCAAAACCATGTTTTCTATACAAAACTAAATATAGAAAATACGTCACAGGAATTCGGCTTTTCAATTTCAAGCATTTTCACATTTTAAATTTAGAATATTCATTTATTTTTATCGAGAATTATGTCTTTCCTCTAAAAAAGGAAAATATGTCGTTTTGAAGCACATTTGATTCGTACTACATTTCGACGAGTAAAGCTTTCTTTCGTCTGTGCTGCGACTATTACAATGACCTTATTTCGTTAAACTATGGTGTTAGAGAAGTCAAAAAATGATTTAAAATTTTTTTCATAGTCTAACAAGAATGAACAAATCTATCGTTAGAAACTTATTTTACTTTACAAACTACCATCGTCAATTTTACGCTAATTTACGGTAAATTTTTTTACCGTAATTTGTTTTCCAATAGCCCGAGACTACGATTACAAATACTACCTACACTACTATAGTTCAGGGTCAACTAAAAAAACAAGTTTTCCAAGTATTGCACTGCTAGCTTTCTTCCAATTTTGAAGATCAAGATATTTTTCAGTCTCTCGGCTACTTGGCATTCAAAGTGTTCATAAGCTGGTTTTCTTGAGTGTTTGTACAGGTTCATGTCCATTTAACGATCTCAACTTTGAAAACGTTTTTCAAACTCTTCAGTATTTGAGTTTTCATTTCTTCTAGCAGTTAAAATTTTGCTAAAATTTACAAGCAATTTTCCTTTCTTGTTGAACAAATGCGATAAACCAGTTGTATGCCAGCCTGTACAGATCTGTCATTACCTGTCAAAACTGGACAAGTCAGATAGCCATAGGTCGCGTTTTTAGCCAATCATCGCATAGATCAAATTTGTTTACGTGAGTTTGACGACAGACAAATCTTTTTTTTTTTTTTTTTTTTTTTTTTTTTTTTTTTTTTTTTTTTTTTTTTTTTTGTCGCTACTTGTTCTACAAATTTCATATTGAGGATAAATAAAGAAGATAAAAAACATAAGATTGTAGCTGCTTTCAATTCTTTGAAGTGTGTCAGTGTCTAAATCCTTCCGTAGCTTATCGATATATTCATGCAATTAATTACGTTGGTCAAAAAGAAGTTATCGAAAATGAAAGCGTCAGAAGCAAGGTAAAATTTGAGAGTGTTCAATAAAATCTTACATTGACTAGCTCTTATATCTTACTAATCATGTTGTAATTTTAATCTAAGCATCCTCTAGCTCTTTTCCGCCTTGATACTGAACTTCTAATTCAAGAACTAGACAACCACTATCGCTTTTTATTATTTTATTCCTTATTATAATTACAAACTCTTTGATGTTTACATTACATTATTAAGTCCGATATGTGAAAATAGATGTATTGATAAACTTATCGAAAAGAGAAATCGTGCTGTAAGCTAGTTCCTAATTAAACATCCAACAGAGCTTAATAGTTCAAAACACAGATAAAAGATGTTTAACAAGATTAAACGAAGAAACTATTAGCTGGGCTGCTATCGCATCATGAAGGAGGAGACTATTCTATGTTGCACGCTGATTGGTTAAAAAAAACCCACATCAATTTCGAGCTAGGAGATGATTGGATATGATGATTTGTGCTGATTCTTTTGTGAAGATTTAATTGATTGGCTATCATTGATTCGCATCAACTTCAGGTTGTGCACTGATTGGTTGATCTTCGGCGAGATTTGATATGCTAAGCGGCGATTGGACGACCGTGAATGGACAACGACGATCTAGCGAAATCGTCTTGCGTTTATTTTATGGTAAACACCGATTGGTTGAATACTCCAGTTTCGAGTTCTNCTCCTGAAGCTGTAGAACACTCAAAAAGTTATAGAAATCACTCGCCTACAGCTCGTGATTTCTATAACTTTTTTTTGTGTTCTACAGCTCCAGTCGTGTTTTATCAGAGAACAGAACATAGCTAAGCCTGATCTATTTGTTAAACAAAGTATTTCGCTAATTCATGGAACTTTTGAGGCAAAAATGAAATGTTTTCAAAACATGCTTAGATTTTCATTGCCTGACTTGATCACTCTTTTGATTCAAAACAACAAATTCATAACTTTATAAAAATGAAGTATATTATAAGTATATATATATATATACACTCGATTGCAGAAACGTTGTAGTATACTTTATACAAATACCTAATTTATTCAGTATATTTAATGATATGCAAAACGGAAAAATCGCTTTATTTATTGTTTGTTTCATTCAATGACTGTCAAAATATTTTTTCTTGTCCTTTAGATCGTACAGATTATAAATCAGTTGGTTTTAAGAGTTGAAAATGGTTATTTTGCATTATGCATCTCATTAGATATTTGTATAAATGTATAAATGTATACTACAACGTTTCTGCAATCGAGTGCGTATATATATATATAAGTATATATATTATAAAATTGAATTTGACATGTTATTCTCAAAATCAATTCGAAATACGTCTTAGATTCTCTGGAGGTTACAAAGACGATTTGACATGTTTCAGACGGAGGTAAATGTAATAGATCCCAGCCCCGCGCGGACAGGATTTCTGTTTTTTGACCAAAAACTTGGATTTAGTCGCTGAGCTCGTCTATTAGTACGGTGACCCCCATTTCTTTTCTTTTCATTGTGAGCTAGATATAATATTCTTTGGATTTAGTGCGGAAAGAAAAAAAATCATAGTTAAAATTGTCATGAATTTTCAACATTTTTACAACTACAGGCATATAACTGCGCCGAATTACAAGCAATTTCGCTTCTAGAATTTACTTTTCACACTACTTGCAAAAGATTGGATGGATTTTTTATCTAGATATGTTTTCTAGACTCAACACCTATAGTTTAAAACAGTTTTTTGTTTTTCTTTATTAAATCGATTCGAATAATTCGAATTTATTAGAGGAGGTAGATTTTCGGCAAAAACGCGCGGAAAACTGAAAAATCCCTCCTTTTTGAAGCCTTATATCTCGATAACCAATACGGTGACCCCCTTCCGTTTTTCATTATTTGAATACCCTAACAATGAACTTCAAATAACAGAATTTTAAAAAAAATTCATTGAAGAATTTTGAAGATCCGGTACTACCTTAAGACACATTTGCTTACTAGGGCTTTCTTGCATTAGCCGTCATCATTAGAATTAATTTTCCTTTCAATTTTTCAATAACTTTCCCTTTCTCTATTATTGTTATTATTATATTTCATTATTATTATTATTGTTTATACTTATTATTGTAAGTAGTTATATATAGCGCACTTGAATATGTATATAGATTTTTGCGCTTTAGAAATTATTAAATTATTATTATTATTATTATTATTATCCAAGATGAAATAAAGTTACTTTTGACATATTTTTAAAGAACTGCTTATCCGGTTTTGACTCGAGTTTTATTCAGTCGAATCACGCTTACTCTACAGTTGAATACAAAAACTGACAATGTTTTGCGTTTCGTACCACAGACAATGTCTAAAGAAACGAGAGTCAAGGAGGGGGAGAGATTACAAGTTTATTGTGGGGGAGGGGGAGGACCACAGTAAATAATTCCCATGAATCCTCCAATACTCCCATTTCAATATTCCAATATTCCCTTTGCTCAGTCTTAGCCTCGATTGTGTACAATTGCGTTCTTTTCTTCAATATTAAGGTTCATTGTATGGTAAGGAACGTATGTACTACAGAACAATACGAGTTGATTAAAATGCCAGAGGTTTTGGTTGCCGAAATAGCTGATATTGAAACCCACAACCGAGATTATTCTCACTGGAAGCTCCACGCACGATGCCTCAAACATCACACGTTTAATTTGTTTCTCGAGAGGAATGCGTCCCAGGGGATTACATCTCACACTCCCATGTGCCTAGGACGAGCATAAATACCCTCTTTGAACCAGTTCGCAGGGACCGCAGAGCATATTGAAAAGAAGGGGGGGCATATTGAATATCAAATAGTTCGCAATTCGAGTATAAGGCCAGCTCGAGAACAAAACGAGCTTTCAGCTGCGAGGTCGTCAACACCCCGGAGGTCATCTCCCTATAACTTAGTATCACTCCAGGCATTGTTTGTGGGAGCTCTCAGTGAGAGTATATTAATGAAGGCTGAACAAAGAGACCTCGAAACTGGAGTATTCACAAACCCCGGGGGGGTACTACCACCCCAACTTGGGTAGGGGTGTGCCGCCAGGACCTCAAAACCCTGACCCTATTCCAGACCTAAAATTTTGATTTTACATACCCTACCCCAGACTAAAACTAAGAATTGTACACCCTATCCCAGACTAAAAGACGGAAAACACGGTTTTACAATCGATTATTACTAACATTTTTATTGTTTTTGGTCGGCAGAAAGCATAGCCTATTCGCCAGACAAAAACGACCAAATCGTTAACCCTATCCCAGACTAAAATGATACCATATCCCAGACAAAATGTCCAAAAATGATACCCTACCCCAGATCCAAAAGCCGAAAAACCATACCCTATAGGGCGGCACATATCCGTATAGCAAATATAGGGGAGTACCCCCCCGGGTCACAAACACTCTCCCATGACATATTTATCTTGTACGAGTGCCAAAATAGAATCGTGCTATATTTGAAATGTAGCTAACACTAAACGTAGCGGAGAGGAGGTAGGAGACACATGGAGGACACAAAAAGGAACAGAGGGATTTGAAAATGACATTGAATAAAACTCAGTGGCAGATCCAGGGGGGTCGAAGGGGTCCACGGAACCCCCCTTGAAGGTTTGATCTTTTAGGTAATAGAAATATGTCTTATATAAGTTTTAATTTAAAAAATATTAGTAGTAGATAATGTTGAACACGAAATGATAGATATTTGCTGTTATAATGTTTAATTTACCTTATGTTCCGTTACTAGATAGTAAATTAGGTGATTATAGACAATTTTTTTGTCAAACATCGACTAAACAAAAGAGAATCATACACAGTTTAAGAAACGGAACCCCCCTGGATCCGCCACTGAAACTTACAGATATAGTGAAAGGCCAAATGTAAAGTCACAAGACAAAAATCAGAATTTATATAATACCTGTTGGATTTCCTGGATTTATTAAGACTAGTGCCCTTGGAATGCAATAGGGTCTAGCATCGTCCAAAGCTTTTTTCAGACCGTCTATATTCAGCTGCCAGTCATTGTCCTCATCTAGGTAATAGGGAATCTGAAAAAAGGTGTATTTGACCAGTCCTTATGTTTTATTCACTGTTCTTTTATCAAAAACTGAATGAGAGTGCCGTTTTTCCATATCAGATATTAGTGAGAAAACCTTGAAACCCCAAGTAGAGTTCTTCGATAAACATACACTGAAGGAAATCATTGTATTCGATCAAACACAAACAGTAACTAACTTGTTAATAACATACAATATAATTTTACCATATATGAATTTTGTTCCAATATCTTAGCCGCATACAAGCTGTATTGAGGTATAGGACACATGAAGCCTTCTCTTTTATCACCATCCATGCCTGTTCTTAGGGCGCTCATGACGATCTGGTAATAAAAAGTAGAGTCTTTTGTAAGCCTAATGAAACCTTCGTAACGGGTTCAAATTACACTCTTTGTTTTTACAGTTGCTACTTTCTTTCTTCGCCATTTCTTCTCCGAACGTATGCACTCTTTCGACCTCTGTGTGTTACATTTCGTTACTTGTCTTTAAGTGGCTCAGGGGTTGACAGCAAATAATTCGTATTGTTAAGCCCTTTGAACACCTACTGCCTATGAGTCAGTATGATTTTGCCAGTCCCATGAAGTTCTCCTTAGGGCCTTAGTATCAGGTTTGAGATTTTGTCCTTAACGATGTTTAAGTATGTGATGTTAAATCATGACTGTGTATTGCTGTGGCTTCTGGCTTGAGTTTGGGTTGTTGAATTTGGGTTGTTAAGTTGTTTAGTTTGGGTTGATAGGTTTGGGGTGTCTAGGAAGATTATCTTCTGGTGAGTCGGGACTTTATCAGCTGTAATGTTTCTTGTAATTGCAGATAGGAGTCAGGTCTGCTTCGGTCCATTCTCCGGCAGAGGATGATGAGTACAGTGAGACCCGCGAGAAAAGTTTACTCTTCCCTTTGTGCATTCGTTCCAACCCAAACATGACGTGGTGCGTAACGCCTACAGTATACACATTCACATACAGGTGTGCGATCACTCTCGTGGACAGCAGTCATTTTCGGCTACTCCATATCCCATTGTATATTCATAAGTTGCAATTTCAAGAACTCACATGTAGTTGTAGTACTTTCTGAACAATGAATACAACAAAGTCCTTACTTGAATTGCTACTGATCCTCCATTTGTCATAAAAATGTTCGATGGATCAGACGGATAACCATCTCTTTTGAACATGTACTCTGCGATGTGCTTCCTTATTACCAATAACCCTTGTGAACTGGTATATGAACCTTTAATCAAATTCATATTTATTTGATTAGTTTATTTGGCGGTAAAATACTGACATTTGAAATTAAGTTATTATACACTTTAATGACTATCTCGCTTTTGATTGGCCGAGAACCTTCAGCCAATCCCTGACATATCGAGTGAATTTGTAGGTTTTTCTACAGGTAATACATTTATCATGTCAGCGTCACTTAACATTACAATGCAAATTGAAATTAGAATACGTTTGCAATATTTTGCAAAGAAAAAATCAAATATTTTTTATTAGTTCCAGTTCAGACGTCAAGCTTTTGTCAAGTCGAATCTAATATTAGCATTTTATACATGTTAAGTGCGACGCCTGAACCAATTGATTTCAACAGAAGATTTTAAAAAATTCAATTCGATTGAGCCAGTCCCATAAAACGATCAAAGTTCAACGTAGACGCGTACTTTCGTAGCGTCAAATGCAACGACTCCAGTATGGAGTTCTCTGTTTGCTCAGGGTTAGCCTCGACTTTGTGCATAATTTCCTTTTGTTCCAGCGAAAGTCAGTGGAATTTCAAAGAGTTTATAATGTTGAAGTTGTATATTCTTTACTTTACCGTAGCCTCCTCCGCAGGCGTCTTACTTTGCTTCGAGCCTTTCTCATGCTTATTTGACGGGCTACCTGTGGTTCGTGCATTTGGGAAGCATGCATGGGTGGCGAGGTGGTGAGAGCGCTGGCCTCTCATCAATGCGACCCGGGTTCGAGTCCCGGCGTTCAACTTCTAAATTCCAATTGGAATTGTAGTGGAAGAAGAGCCACTCTGTGGAAATGTCACTGCTAAATCCCGCGTTTATTTTGTTTCTTTTATTATTTATATAGATACTGATACGAGGCAAAACCAAAAGTACATGAGTCTATAATCAAAGAACACAGCGGTAACTTCGAAAATGGACTATAAATGCATAAATTATAAAGACTCAATATTACAGCAGCTATGGATAAAAATGCGCCCTATGGCGAACTCGTGGATACTACTTGCACTGTTCAGAGATTGGGCTCCATGTGCTCTTCTTCCAGTTTTACATGGTATCTCCTCTTATTTACCACTTTTTTCGTCATTTAGCCGTCAAAATATGTTGTGTACTCCCACGGCTACGCCTCGTGAGTCTACAACATTTTGTCGGCCAGATGTTCAAAATCGTGGTAAATAAGAGAACATAACACTGAAAGCTGGAAGAAATTGGTTAACTGGCCGATATTAGGATAACAATTGATGTTAAAAAATCTTTAAAATTTTTTGTTTGCTCTACCTCCAGCTGATCTGAAAAAGTGACGTAGGAATGACGTCACTGCAAAACTGAGGTGTCCTGAAGGCTGTGAAAATTGACCAGCAAAATTTATAAACCCGTCCACCATTGCTATAAAACTATAAAACTCAGTAATTATTGTGTTACTTTTATCAAAGGCTTAAATAGTAACGTTATCCTTTTTCATTTGGTGGCCTGGATTCATGATTTCAAGAGGAAAAAGGAAAAGGCGTTTGATGTTGAACCGCACCATCACGTGATACTGACCCTGCACAATGGACCAAAGCAAGTATGGCTGAAAATACTTATTTCCTTATTATTTTTATGTATGAACATTTTGAAAGCGAAAACTTTCAATCGATGACCAAAAACCATGCGAATAAATATTTCCACGAAGATAGAGTGCTCACACTAAATCCGTGAAACAAATACTAATTTTTAGCACTAAATAGTTATAAATAAACAATAGAAAACAAAGGATTCTGCATGAAATAGTACTAATTAGTACTATTTAATGTTCACGGTTTTAGTGCGTGCACTCTATATAGTTAAGTTACTAGACGATAAATAAGAAAGCATGAAAAAAGGCAATTTCCTTTTGAATAAACAATTAATATTAATCATATAGGATTAATTAACAAATAAAAAGTATTTTAGAACGTTTTTTAGGGTTAAAAACTTCTATATTCCTGCATAATATGAACAAACGGAGCAACGTTTCTTTCTCTGTGCAGGGTCAACGTCGCATAACAAAGGATAAAGTCGAACAAAAACCTAGAACAATAGGTTTCCCAACCATTCCGCTCCATTAACTGCGTTCAAATATTGGTCTAACATGCCATCCAAAACACCAAAGTTTGATGTCTAATAATTTACATATAATTTTTTCCCCCCAAATATCCGTTGTTGTTGTTGTTGTTGTTGTAGTTGTTGTTGTCGTTGTTATTATTATCATTATTATTATTATTATTATTATCATTATTATTATTATTATTAAAAGAAGAGAGAAGCTACAGAAATACATGTACCAACAGGCAACTTGCTTTTGAAATTTGTGAGAGAAGAGCAGGATATAAGATGCAGATAGTGATAATAGTGATAACAGTGATCGTGTAACTACCAGGATGACATGTCTCGAATTTCGGGACCAGATCATGTGGTAGGGACTGAAGAGCTTTCGGGGATACTTTACTGATCAATACAATAGTACCACGGAGAGCAAGGTTCTAATCTCTTTCGTGATTTAATGTAGAATGATCGTAAACTGCAAATACAATACGAGAGCGAAACTTACTAAATATTTGAATACATTTCATGAAGCACTTAAAATCACTATATAATCTTGAATCAAATTAAAGCTACCACTGTGAAGGGCTAAAAGGTACTCTAGATTCGATTTCTATTAAAACTGATCAATATTTGTATATATTCTAAATGGGTTATGAAACTTTGCTAATTAAGAAAACTAATAAAATTGTACTTACATATCGGTCCCGTTTGCCAAGGGCTACGCTTCTTTTGAATTTAACGCACGCAATAATACACTCAAAACACTAGGAAAACTAGGAAAAACTAACTATTATAGAACGATGCTAAATTACTTTTATATGCGCGTGGGGACGCTAAAGAATCAGATTACAAATCAAACACAAACATTAAACAGGAACTAAAAACAAATAATCCAATAAAAAGGAGTTTCGTTGTCTATTACAGATCGGATACCTGGAAGTATGAAGGAAGTAGAAGTAGAAGTCTGAAAGTTAATCTGTGATGAGAGGAGAGCTAGAAAAGCATGTTTGGAGATGCAGAAGACAGTGCTTTTCAAGAACAAGACAATGTTAAGGAAAGTTATCTCAGGGATTGTCCAGGGATAATAATAATATTTAGCAAACAAGCTGACAAATGTTTGGTTCTTTGCCCCATGTCCAAACACGGGAAATGGCCTACATGCTAAAAGTTTACTAAATTTACTTTGTAATAGCATTATTACCATACTGAGACTCCAACCATGAACACTTTAAACATATTATTTGTCCTAATTTTTTCATAAAGTTCAATCAGCAACCTCCATAGAAATGAGGGGAACATACAATCAATCTTCAGGCGCCTTCCATTATGCAATCACATCAAATGAGGGAAAATATATAATTATTTAATAGATAATTCATTTTTAGCTCTCTTATGTGATCTAATGCATGCTGGTGCAAAAAGTGCAAACATTCAATAATTTACAGAAATAAAACAAAATAGTAAAATTTAAGAATAACTTACTCATTGTGTTACCAGTTTTGTGACTAAGTATTTCTTTAACTCTGTTTTTAACATCTTGGGGAAACCTTGGATCACTCATTAGGATCTCTGGGCACATCAACAAAGAAAAAACCTGGAATAAGGAAAATACTAGCAAAATCAAAATATAATCTTTAAAGAGGATTATGGGCATTGTTCAGTGCATCCTTTCTATGCAAAAATTTAGTGAGCATGCTCTCATTGTGATGAAGTCATTCCAATGTTTTGATAACCTAAATATCATGAAAATTAATTAATATCTTTAATCTCTCATGATAGGGCATCCTTTTTTTTATTTTTGTTTTTTTAATTACTTAAGGGGGAAAATAAAAAAAACTGATGATGGGATCAAATCAGATTACATATTTTGTGCATAACTGGAATACAATTTTCTTGAACCTAAAGGCTCCAAGTCCACACGTAACATTTTATATTTCTAACTTTTTAACACAAATTTTAAAAGCTAACTAATTATTTGGTTACTTTTAAAGTTCTTTGGAAAATAGTAAGGGTCAATTGATTTTCAGTAGAGTATGGCTTAATTATTTTTGACAGTTTTCCATGTCACATTGTTCACATGTTTTTACTGTAAAAAGGGTAAACTTCCACGTATTCTGACGGCTAAACGTCGACGACAATGGGAACTTTTGCCCATGAAGATCCTTAAGCTTTTGCTAATTTTCTATTGTAATTATATTGCAAAAACTTGAGAAATGTTTTTGAAAGTACTCAAACAATAAGCATAATGACAACTAGTAATACTGAACCATTCACCTGTCTCACAAATGTAATAGGCTTTTGTCCTTGTAGTCCCTGTGGATCTCCAACATGTTGTATAACTTTATCAAATGGTTTCTTTATACCCTTTAGAAATTAGAAAGGCATAGTATTAATGTATTGTAGTAAAGAATTAAGAGCCATACACTGTAGGTATGAAATTGATGCTTTACAACCCTAGTTATAGCTACATGTTTGAATTAAAAATATTGTAAATCTTCCTTTTCTTCAGTATAAAAAGTATTGTGTCAGGCTGTAGTATCCTAGCAGTATATATACATTGTTATAGGCATTGGAAAAGCTGTGGTGTCCTATTAGTGTCCTGCACTCGAGTCCTTGCTGTTCTATAGATGCTATATATTGTAAGCTGCACGGCTGCTACTAGTGCCTTAATATGCAGCCCATAAAGTCCTCCACTGGTCATTAAATGTAAATTAGTGCATTGAGACGTGTATAAATGCGCTATCCAAGAACCTCCCATTACTATTATTATTATTGTCCTAGCAGTAAAATAAGTATTGGGAAGGCTGTGGTGTCCTAAGTGTTCTTATGCCTTATGTCCTTGCTTTCATAACAGTATAATAAGTGTTGGGAAGGCTGTGGTGTCCTAAGTGTTCTTATGCCTTATGTCCTTGCTTTCATAACAGTATAATAAGTGTTGGGAAGGCTGTGGTGTCCTAAGTGTCCTTGTTATACTGGTAGGACAGAAAGGGGTAGTGTGAAGAGGACTGCTGCACCAGTTTTTTTTTTTCACTGTCTTTTTGTTGTTGTAAGGTTTGAATTTTTGGATATCAAGAAAAATATGTCTGTAGATTTTAATCAAAAAGATTACAGAAGTTTTGTGCTGTGTCCTGTTGTTATAGCTTGTTTTTGGTGTCGTACTGGTATTAAATTTGAGAAGCTCAAGTATTCCAAACAGATTGAGCCATCACCATTCCCCAACCAACTGCATGAACTACCTATATCAAAATGCACGTGATGAGCAGTCTAGGTCTTATCAGAACTGCCATATTGGAATATTAAATTGTAGTAGAAATCTAGAAATCTGGACCTCGTTTTGAAAAATCCTGGATCTACCACTGCAGAGCCTTCTCAATAGTTATTTAATTATCAACCATGTCTATTATACTGCTAGGACAGCAATAGTTAACCACAGCCTTTAGCCTTACTACACCACAGACAAAATATGACGTCATCACACATATCAGAAAACTATCTATTTCACAAATTAGTATTTTTTATGTATGAGAGTAAAACAAAAAAAGACCTCTAAGAGATTTTATTCCTTTCCATAGTGACCGTAACTGGTAAATATGTAAGACCCTACTTAGGGACTGGTCATTTATTAGAGAGCGGGGGGGCTCGTGCATTTTCATTTCCTATGGCATATATAAAGTAACATGGCCACAAGAATGAGAACATAAAATAACATGACCCACTCCCAACTCAGACCCAACCTGGGCCTAAGAGTCTTGTAACACGTCGATTTCCTTCGCTATCTTGCATCTTCACTCTGACGATAGGTCACTTAGGGCACTAAGTCTAACATCCATACACCTTCAGTTCTACCTACACATGAGCTCATCATACAAACTTACAAGCAAATTATTTTTCAATATGTCATATCAATACCGGCCCCTTCACTCGTGCCACAGCTATATGCAGCATATTTCCCCTATTCCCTGTGTTACCTTCAAATCCTTACAAATTTCATATTTTCCTATATGTTCTCTTCCAATCTACAATACTCGTACAATCTCATTCCCATCCATACATTCTTACTCCTTAACATTTTAGACACCGAAAACCCTTTCCCCTCTCCATTTGCTTGGGTCCGAATACCTTGTTTTCCATAGTATTTTCGGATTCACTTCCGAGATTCTATGCTTTAAATTTGCAATGAAAATGTTAACTAAATAGCTTTATACACTATTTCAAACCTGAAATAGTTGACTAAAAACGCATGACCCCCAAAAATGTTTGCATAATTCCATGCAGCCCCTCATTTTTGGTTGAACAAAAAGGCATGGCCCCCTCATATGGCCCATTTGCACTAGCCCACCCCCCCCCTCCCCTTCTAATAAATTATCGGTCCCTTAACGTGCGAATATGGCCACCCCATTTTTTATCTTAGTTTAATTACTCTTGTACTCAAAAGCTAGCTTTTTACCGATTATAAAAGAAATTTCATCTACTAAAAACAGCTTACATTTAGTTTACAAATAACTTTCATTTCAATATTTTACCTGAGAGAGCTCTTCGACGATCTCACTACACCGTAAACTTAGTGGTCCTCTAATAGGGTAATCTATTCTCTTGAAAGCTGGATTGACAGTATCAACTGTGATTACAGAAGAAAGATTATCGGCCATTTTTGCCTATTAATATGACTGTTTCTGCACAGCAAGCCCACAAGCAAGGTACTGGTTATGTATTGAATTTTGTAGTTATTTATAATGTCCAATAATTTTTATGTGTGTTCTTTCTACTGCTCTTTGTCTCTGTACACCGGCCAACCTGAACAGCGTTTTCACTCATGTGAGAAGGCAGCCATAAACAATAGAAACTTTCTGCACAGTATTTGCATAAAAATAGAGTTCAATTCCCGGAGGATAGAAAATGTATTGTTTTGGTACCCCACATATGGCCGCTGTGACGTCACGTAAAAATGAAGCGTGAAGCGAGGTTGGGCTTTCTGTGGTAAGGGGTTTTGTTCTCAGTTTGCTCGAAGTAGTTTTGAAATACAATTTTCAAAAGTTTTTTTCCGTCAGCTTTTTCAAATGCCGTTTCAAAATAAAGTTTAGTATTTCGTTTTCGTTTTCATTTAAAAAATTGCCTAAAATGTGTTTCATTTTGTCGTCCGAAGCTGTTTATTTGCTTGGCAACTCGTGCACTAAAATTACATGTAAACTCTAACTTAAAACGCCTCGAAATGTCCCTCGAACCCTCGAAACGGTATTTGAAAGATGTCTATTTGAAACGTGTTAACAAGCGCTATTTAAACCGTGGGAGTTAGCCTTAAACACCACAGGAAGCCCACCACCCAGTCCACGAAATGAGAGTCTGGGACGCCTGTGGTTCAATGTTCGATTTGAAATTTGATGTCAAAGGGACCAAAAGGAATCACTGACAACTCAATTCAAAAATTTAAAGTAAGTGTTTTTTATACAATACAAAGATATGAGGCTTATTTCTCGTTGTACGAAGTGTTTATGTATTTATTTATTTAATATATTTCGTGCATAAGAAATACCTTATACGTACAGAACGTATACTGACGCACACCGGTATAGGTATAGCCTTAATAATATAATAAGCCTAGCTAAATAATGAGTTTATTGCCAACCTAAACATTCATTTTTCATTTAATAGTTTTTATTATCATTCGTTTAGAAACACTAGCCTTAAGTTTCAGAATAACTTGGCCACGGCTTAGCAGCAAAAACAACATGGCGGATACTCAGTTGAGCACACCGCTTGCCGAACTTCGATGGGTCGAGAAACGTATTTATACTGATTACCATGACTGTCCATCACAGTATTTCAGCATGCCTTATGTTCTCTTGAGACCGTCTGTTTAAGATGGTGTACAGTGTAATAGTATTTACTATAGGGACTTTTAAAGTGCCTATCACCCTTTTTTTTTTACTTTTTCATATCGAAATATAAGCTATTCTAAGAAACCTGTCGAAAGAATTTTTTGATTCTGACGCTTCTTTC